GCGGGTAGGTGCGGGCCCCGGGTGCCTCGCGCGGGTAGGTGCGGGCCCCGCCGCAACGGGCCGCCTCGCGGAGCAGCTCCGAGTCCAGGGCTGTGATGTTTGGGTCACTGTTAGAAGCCAGTGCTAGTCGCACTGTCAGATTTCAGGGTCTTTATTCCTTATTGGTAACGTTATGAGTAGATCCTGTAATTCTATCTACACTTCTGACTGGAAAGCTTTATGTGAGACRTAAGTAGTGTTCCCCAAAGATACCTGTAATACCATAACTTCACATACGCTTATCTGTCAGCTCCGTAGCTTGCAGTCTGTTCACTTTCCTAAACCGTAGTTGGTGTCTGGCGCTTCCATAACACAGCACTTCTAAGGTAGATAGAAAAGGTGCTCGTGAACTCATGTGAGAGAGGGACACGGAGCCCCACGGTGCACCTGGAAAAACACRTGTCCTTTTTGATCAGGCAGGGCCTTTGATGTGACTGCTCACTGTAATTACCCAGCTCTGAAAGCCCGTGGATTCACCTGGAAGAAGAAGAAAGCCTTTTTGTTTGAGCTGCTCATCTGTCGTGCCCAGCTGCTGCTTTTGCTTCCCTGTCCCTACAGTGAGAGAAGCAGCCTCGGGTATCGTAGAGCATCAGTGCGGAGGTGCCGGGACTGCAAGCAGGCCTGCTAACGGCCAGGTCCTGGCTTCCCAAAGGTGCTTTGGGGCTGGTTTGCACCACGTGTTCAGCTCAGCTGCAGCTTCTCTAGCAGAGCTGTTGCTGGCGGCCCCTCTGGGTTGGAGACCCCAAGCAGAAGCGCTGCAGAGCGCTGCGGGCGCCGGCCCGGGCGCCGGCGCTAGAGCCCGCGGAGCGATGCAGCTTTTGCCTYTTCCTTTTGCAAAGGTAACAACAGCCAGTGGATGGGGCATCGYGCGGCACGATGAGCTGATGCACTGCTCAGAGGCTTGAAGTCRTTGGCAAGTAGGGTGCCGGATGCTGGTGTATGAGGGGCTGGAATAGGCAGGGCATCCTCGTATGGATTTAGGGAAGAAAGCGTTTGGTCTAGCGGGTGTCTTTTCCCTACCATTGATGCAATCCACCATTGAGGAAAGGACAAACCTTCCATCCCAAGTGTTCACTTCCCATTTGTTGCATTTAAACTTTATTGCCTGGCCTGTCTATTGGATTTGGGATGAAAATATGCAGATGCAGATAGCAGAAGTTCAGTGCAGCTGCCGCGACTGTATTACGTGTGGGTTAAGTTGGCATCTCTATTGCAGCATGACCCTGTGCTTGCAAAGAGCCCTCTCACCTTCTCTGGTTGTTACAGATACCTCTCTCCTGCTGTTGCAGAGGTGGTGTGGAATCTCCTTTTAACATATTTCTCCCAAATCAGCGTTGCACACAGATCTCGAGGTGCTAGGGCTGCACGCTGACCACGCGTGTTGTTGTGTATGGGGACGTGGGGAGGCTGGAGCTGCTGCTTTGCCTGCTCCTCTGCCCCGCACGTAGCAGCCATCCTGTGTAGGAGAACGGAGCAGGTCGGACTAGTTTGGTTGTGGATGTAGAGACTCCCGCAGCCTCGCTGTGAAGGGGTTAAGCTGCCAGCATCACCTTTCTGCTTAACCTTTCAGTGCTCCAGCGTAGGCTACGCTGCTGCATGAAGTCTRTGGTGTTTCTTCTATAGGTAGGCACAGGATATCTTTGTATTTTATGTTTTTTTTTTCCCTCTAAACTCTTCAGGAGAACTGTGAACCTGAAAATGAAATGCTGTGTTGAGTGAGTTTGCTCAACTAAATCGTCACAGTTTTTCCCTAACCTCTTTTTATAGCTGTTCTAGCTTGGCAAAATCCACGGCCTGAAACCAAAATAACGTCTCTCTGAGATTCCCGGGGTAACTAACAGAATGTGAATGTTTGTCATCTGCGTGCAGAAAGCGAGGCTGCCTGTGYTGGAGAAGTAACAAAACAAAAGGCTCAGTCTCTCAAAGCATACAGTTAACATAAATATTTTTGCCAGCATGGCTAAAAGTCAGTACAGTCATTGCTGCCACTCCTTATGAGCTGCTTTCTGCTTAAGGGTGGTCCCTACATAAATATTTATTTTGTTAGATCCAAAGCAGAGCATGAGATCAACAACTTGCATGCACGCTGCTTTCCTTTTCCATCTCGAGAGCTTCGCTGGCGCTCTTGTGCTCTACGTTTCGGGTTTCTCTTGGGAAAGAAAACAATCTGTAAGAAAATAATCTGTAGAAAAATAATGTGGGCATCTCTCTAAAGGAGCTTCATGCTTGCAAAAACTTGTGGCTTCCTATAGCTGCTGAGGAGTTGTGGATGAGGCTGGGAAGTGCAAGCGGAGCGGGCCCATGGAACGAGCCCCCTCGTGGCTTTGGTGCAGCCCCTTGCCGTGTGCTTAGGGGGCTGAGGCCCCCAGCAGCCGGTGACGCCGCTGCTTTGYGGGCAGGGTGCTGCACCCTGCTTGCACAAGGCGCGGGTCTGGCAGCGTTGCTCCCAGGACCCCTGCTGCTGGCTTGAATCCGTGGGTGGCTGCGGCGTTTCCGCACGTAGGGCAGCGGGAACGGCAGCTGGGGGGTGGAGGTGAATTGCGTCCCTGCAACACGGAGGAAGTGCCTGAAGGCAGAAACTTGTGGCGTGGGACGTTGGGACGAGGCTCCCGGGAAGCGGGTTTGGGAGGCCGGATCCGGCGGGCTCCTGAGGGGCAGTTCCCAGCAGGAGAATCGCCCGTGGTGGGATGAGTGCTCGGGCTGTGATAGAGGTGTGGAGAGCCCGGAGCTGCTGCCGGAGCTGGGACAGGGAATGAATAACCCCCTTGCTCTCTGCCTCTGGGCACGGCTGCTGGGGCAGCGGCAGACGGGCTTCATCGGTACCTCTTTTGGTGGGACCTGCCAGGGATCAGGCAGAAACACGTGGTTAATTAAACACAGTGTTGAAACACAAGGCTCTTCAGGATGCTGTTGGAGGTAGGAGACAAACACTGCTGGAGTTCAGGCRTGGATTTTGCAGCCTTCCAAAGAAGGCATTGTTCTAAAAACAGTGAGGGGAAAAATGCAGGGTTTTTCTTGCAGACACTACATGCCCGTAGTAGCCTTGGTAGGTGCTGCTGGTTCTGCTTAAAATCCTGCATCTTTGCCTGCAGCCTTGCAAGTTCACTTGAAAGGGTTTCCAAGACTTCTTTCAGCCTTGTGGCATGGAATAAACACCACCCTTTCACTTTGGGGCTTAGGTATCTAAAAATTACTTGCAGTGTGTATTTTGTAGCTGCCCTGCGTAACACAGTGGGTTTAACAAAATAGATCTGCCTGGTTTCCTTCCAGGAGATTTTGTGTTACCAAACTGTTCTAGGAAAAAACATTAGCTCCTTTTCTCTTCCACCCCCCGCTCCSTTCTGCAGAAACGCTGCCAACGCCTTCAGGTCCTGTTTCTCATTGCACTGAGAACACGGCCCGTGTCGCTTGCAGAAGGCTCTGCAAAAATGCAGATGTTAAACACCTGGTACAAACCTTCACTTGCTTCCCTGGAGCAGAGCAGTCCGGACTGTCCGGACGTGCCTGCTTCCGACTCGGGGCTCCGCGTTCGGATTATCCTTGCTGGACGAAGTGCGTTTCCTGCTGCACCTTCGTGGTTGGCGCTGGGAGGCTGCCAGGCCGCCTGTGAGTCATGTTGCCTTCCAGAGACGCCTCCCCAGCCCCGGCTACGGCCAGGGAGCCTTCCCCGTGGTCAGGGAGCCTTCCCCGCTTCTCCCMCGGCCCTGGAAGCATTCCGGTAGGAGGATGGATCCAGCCGGGGTGACTCACTCGGAAGGGCTCCCAAGTGGTTAACCGTGTACGTATACACACGTATGCATGGAAAAAAAGCCCGTGCAGTCACTGCTCTGAAGAGGAGGCCAAACTGAGGAGAGGGAGTCGGGCAACTGCACAGGAGGCTGCTTGGGCTGCAGCTTCCTTCCAGCCTCCGCGGCCAGCTCGGAGAGGAAAGGGCAAGTTATGATGCTCATAAGCCCTTCATTTACAAAAATAACTTGTTAAAACACTAGTAGGTTTAGTGATGCCTATCCCTAGATAGCACATASACATATAGGCACGGAGTATGTTTTTTCCCCTTGTGCTGCAAGTGTGAAATTTAGGATTGCATTTAATTCCATGCCAGTGTCCTCCTGCTTTAGGCTCATCTAGTGTAGCCTAAAAACCGAGTGAAATTTAGTGAGTTTTCTGGCCTCGATTCACACATTATATTTGATGGTTTATGGAGAAGAGCTTCCTCCCTCATACTGGCTTGCTGGTGTCTTTGTTATGCTCAAGGTTGTTTACCCAGCTTTCCTGTTGAAGAGCAAGTGCATAGGAGATTTTTAACATTAACACACACTCCTATTATGCTCTGGCCAAAGTAAGGATGTGTTACGGTTGTTGTACTCGGGATCTTCATTCTCAAGGCTGACACAATCTGTTTATGAAAGAGTAAAATAAATATTTTAGGAACGCGCCGTTGGGTCCCGTCAGTCACTGGCTGGCTCCTCTTAGGGAGCGCTTGCTGTCTTGCCCACGAGCCCGACTTTCCCCTTTCCCTTGCAAACAGCCTAGCAACGGGAGGCGTTAAGGAACCCCAAGAAGGAAAAAGTACAAAAGAAAAATCTTGGTGGCCTCTCATAACAGGAGAGAAGGGTGGTTTAAATGCACCCGCGTGCTCTGCCGTGGGCAGCCAGACGCTGCTTGAGCTGCCCGTGGAAATGCCTCTGGTGGCAGTCTTCTTCCCTGCCTAGTGTTTCCAAGCAGTAAGAGGCGAAGGCTTCCTTATCAGGTCAGCTCCAGCTTCATTCCAGGCTGCTGGAGGAGGGTTTCCCTTCCTTCAGCTTTGCAGCTCAAGCGTGGGGCTGCCTCTCATCAGTGGTGCAACGATCTGTGGTTGCATAAGGTGGAGCCTTCAGTGGCTGCTGCAMGTTAGGAGCATTTCCTGCTTTAAGAACCCTCTTCCTTTCTTCTCCCTGTCCTCATTCCTTCCTGCGTGCAGGGAATTCCCGTGTTCRGAGGTTGCAGGTGTCCATCTGCTGCAGACCTGCCAACGCCTCCGGGTAGGGGTTGGTCGGAAGGAAGTTTGGAACATTCCTGCTTCCATGATCATTYTGGCATCGTAGCCGGACAACTGTTCAAGGAAGACACGCAGGCATCTGATTGCTCCTTTCCAGAGGCTACAGAAGCCTTGGAAGTGTCCCAGGATGATGTTTTTGTTAATAGCAAAAATGAATCAGCTCGGCTGCTAGGGAAAAATGTAGACACGATTACTTAAAATATAGACCGGTGTGTAACAGGCTTTCAAGGTTATGCAAAATCTTGTGTTTCGGACTTCACCAAATAAGCGTCTTTTAGGATCCACGAATAGGTGCAGTGGCAGACATTGCATCTCTTCATAAATAYGCACACGTTGCTTATGGTAGCCGTTTTCTTAGCTCAATTATAACTAATGCATACTATTTATATATAAAGAAACATCCATCTTCAAACGTCCCGTTGTGAAAGGAAAAGCCTTCAAAGAACCTGTAGGCGCAGCCATCCAAAGGCGTGAGCAGTTCTCACACAAACAGCATTTATTTTTCCCTTCTRCGTGTATTTTGGTGGCTACAGAGGTGTTTCCAGGCCCTCACCYTCTGCAAAGCTTGCCAAACGCCCTGTCCCACCGAGGTGCCCGTGGGCCCACGGAGCGTTTGCGGCAGCAGCGTGGCCCGGCGGCGCCGGCGCTTCCCGCGGCGCCTGACGAGCCTGTGTCCTTTGCAGGAGCTGTGCCAGTGCCGCCCGGGCGAAGGGAACTGCTCCTGCTGCAAGGAGTGCATGCTGTGCCTGGGCACGCTCTGGGACGAGTGCTGCGACTGCGTGGGTAAGTGTCCCCGCGCTCCGCACGCTCCCGCTCCGCGGGGAGGGAATGTCGGGAGGGCCTGTGCTTAATGCACTGGGTGGCTGCGGTGGCGCTGATGGCTCTTGGTTAATGTCCTGGTGACCTGCTGCTCGTCCCGTCTCAAAGGTATAAACTCCCTTTGAGCTGTTCTCAGGTTCTTTCCCTTGCTCAGAACCATTCCTTGCTGGMGACAGCAAACTGCATTGTGCTGGTGTTCTGCAGGGAGAAGCARTACTTGGTTCTTATGGGATTATGAAAAAAAAGAACCAAGGCCAACCGTAGGTTTAATTCTAAATCTGCACATTACTGCCTGTTCTGCAGCTGTTTTGCTACTAAGGAGTTAACAAGGCTTTGGGTTAAGTTTCCCAGTTTTATTTAATCTAAAACATCTCTCGATTGTTCTGCCAGTGCCTCAGTCCCTGTTGCTTCTGTTTCTCCTTGTGTGAGCATCAGTGGGGAGAGCAGGCACTGGCAGAGCAGGGGTTCAGAAGGGATTTTTCTTTTCTTTACTGTGGAGTCAGGAAARAGAGATTTCCCTGTGGTTCTTGCTGTAGCCAAACACGTCTTGTTCACATGAAGCAGCAGGAGTGCAAGGCATCCACTGCTGCTTGCAGAAGAGATCTTTGCTAGGGCTTGATCAGGGCCACARAGATGCTTAAGGAACATCTCTTGTATGAGGAAAGACTGAGTTGGGCTTGTTTAGCCTAGAGGAGAGAAGGGGATCTGACTAACATGTATAAGTTCATGAAGGGAGAATGTGGGGAGGAAGGGGCCAAGCTCTTCTCAGTGGTGGCCAGTGACAGGACAAGGGGCAGTGGGTGTAAGGTGCAACACAGGCAGTTCCATCTCCATGTGGGGAGGAACTTCTTCCCTGTGAGGGTGCCAGAGCCCTGGCACAGGCTGCCCAGGGAGCCTGTGGAGTCTCCTTCTCTGGAGATCTTCCAAACCCGCCTGGATGCCGCCCTGTGCCCCGTGCTCTGGGTGTCCCTGCTGGAGCAGGGGGGTGGACTGGAKGATCTCTAGAGGTCCCTTCCTACCTCAACCASKCTGTGATTCTGTGATTGATCAGTTGGTAAAAAGCCTTAGCTGTCAGGTCAAGTGGGCACGGTTCTTCCTTCACAGTTGTTTGTATGCTGAGGTTTTGTTTTCTTTTTAGTTTTGTCCAAAGCCATGGTAATAAATACTAGACCACTTTTTAAATAGTGAGAATGAAGGATACTCGTGCAATCAGTAGTTACCTGTTATACCAAGAAACCATTCTTCATAGTTTAGGATCTTAATGTATTTTTTGTTGCATTGATATATACACAAACTGTGCCCATCCTGTAGTATTTTGATGAACATTCCTGATAAGCATACTTGATCTTTTCTTATGTGTTTTTCATTAGTGAAACCATATTTTGAATCCAAGTGGACAGATGCAGCCCTACAAAACCTCTCTGCTTTCCACTGCAGTGACATCTAATAAACTTTGCTGACGTGTCTGTACCCAGCAGGTCTTTTGGTTGTCTCTTACCCAATTTGAGATCCTTCTAATGAAAATGTTGGTGGGGTTCCTTTATTAAGTTGTATTGTGAATATTTGAAGTGCTTATTTACTGTTTTTTGTACCCAATACTTGCCTCACCTTTCTAGGAGTTGCCTGACTTGTGTTGTCAGTGCTTTTAAATGCTAAACAGCGTGCTGGAGATGCAGGGGATCTCATGCTGAAAGCACAACGGGCAAAACGCGCTCTTGTTTCATTCATCACAAAAATCATGTCTACTTCAACTGAAAAGGCTTCTTTTATTATATTTGTATACAGTTCCAATTAAACCCACTCTCAGAAACTGGGTCTTAATGGATCTACAGGGCAGGAGACGCTTTTCTGATCTGGTGCGTGTGTATCCCCCACTGCTCTCATAGAAGCCTCTCTGAGGACTGGTGGAGCGGTCCTGGCAGCTGTAGCTAAAAATGTGTCTGTGAAACCGCTCAAAATCACATCCGGATACACACGAGGAAAATGGATTTCCCCTTTGTCAGGTGACTTCCAGTTGTGTTTTATCACTTCAGAGTTTACATATCCATACAGCCATAACTTTTAGTTTTAAAACGGGTGGTTTCTATGYTCAGATTAAGTGAAGATACCTTTCAGCTTCATTACTGATTATAAACGGTAGCATTTATGTTGTCAATGAAAGTCTGGCAAGCGCCCGGGCACTTTGCAGGAAGTGGCAAGGAGGATTAAAATAAAGGGCATTTGGTTTCAAAAAAGATACCACAAAAGATGTTGAAAAATGAGGAAGTGGTAACCTGAAGTAAGCATTTTGCGTGTAGTGATGCTTCCAACCAAGTAGCAAGACGAGTGTCACCCCGGCTGTCTGCAGGAAGGCAGAGTAATTCACCCCGTGTGCCCTCCTGATAGGGATCTTGGCACCTGGCACATGGCTAGTGACATCCCCTGCATTCCTGAAGCAGATGACATTGAACACTTGAATGATGATCAAAAGTTTCATGTACCTGAGGACTTGTTGAGATGCTATCTCCTTTCAGTCTTGGGCTTTCATTTCAGATGTGTTCTGGTTTTTATTTATTTCAGATGTGTTCTGGCGTTTTTATTGTGCTTTGTCTCTTTTCCTAGGGGAAACAAACCTSTCATTGAGCTTTCCAGGCTCTCGACTGAAATGCTAGTGTCAAAGGGAAGTGAAATGCTGTATGGAAGGGGTTTCCTTGTGAGGGCTTTTCCCCTGGATCTCCCGGATTGCCTGTGTGCTTTGTGCAGCTCTGCAGAGATCTGAAATCTGCCGTGCTGGAAACTAGTCCTGCTGTTTAGTGATTTCTGCTACCGAGCGCAGAGTGGAACTTCCTTAAGAGTCCCAATTTGCTTAACAACAAACAATTTAGTTTTATAAGTATTCCCACATGTGAGGAAGAGTTTGGGCACTTTTGTGTAACTCACTATGGTTTGATCCCTTTGCAGGCATGTGCAACCCTCGCAATTACAGCGATACACCTCCCACGTCCAAGAGCACTGTAGAGGAGTTGCACGAGCCAATTCCTTCGCTTTTCCGGGCACTCACAGAAGGGGATACTCAGCTGAACTGGAATATTGTGTCCTTCCCTGTAGCAGAAGAGCTATCACACCACGAGAATCTCGTATCCTTTCTGGAAACAGTGAACCAGCCGCAGCACCAGAACGTCTCCGTCCCGAGCAACAATGTCCATGCACCTTACTCTAGTGACAAAGGTAACAAGTGTGTAGCTAAATCCTTAATGTTTCCTCTGGTTCCTTTCAGGAGGAGCCTTTTCAGTGTATTTTCTTTGCTCACTCATCCCTTTCCAGATAAGATGTGCGTGAGTTTGAACGTGAAATAACAAAAGGGGTGAAACAAAAACATGGAGGAAGAGGAAAGATGGTGCTGAAGCGTCTGATGATCTTAGAGAGCATTGAACTGCCTGAGTTTGCCATCTCTCGAATTCTTCCTGCAGCATGATGCAGTGATGCAGTCTGTTTGTGTTGTTTCATGTGCACACACCAACAGAATATGCACCTTGAACCTGAAAGAGTCACGCGGGCCTCAGGAGACAGGACAGACCCGAAGCTGAATGCAGCTCACGTGTGAGTGCAGAGCAAGGGGCTGAAACATGTGGCTTTAGGGGCTTGAGAAGGGAACATCCCGTAAGCCACTACCCCTGGAATGAGTGTTTAATTCTCRAGTCTGAGTTGGCATAACATGATCTTGAGTGATGGCTTTAGGAAATCCAAGATTGGTAGCAAATGTCAKCGAGATTAGCAAGATCACTCTTGATATTTAGAGGGGTGACAGAATCTTTAAGTAGTTTGGGAAACATTTTTTACAATACGGAGACTCATTCCCATTGCTCTTACTTTTCATTCAGAGGACAGATTCAGCATATTATTAACTGGGGAATAAAAATGACATATATGAGGTAGGGACAATAGTGGGATAAGGAGAGTTTTCTCCGCATGATTTCCATGCTAAACCTGAAATATCTTTTCTTTGAAAATCTTTACATCGGATCTTGTAAGTAGTTCTTAGTAACTAAGTGCTGCTTAACTGAAAAAAACACCACTGATTTGTTTTATTGTAGTATAATTAATGCTGCGCTTCCCTTCCGAACACACACTTTAAAAATTAGTAACTCTGTATGCTGCTGTTGTGATTTTTTTTTTTTAATCTTAACCATGAAAGATACCCTAAAGGGTGGGCATGTGGTTTTTCCATCCCATTGTGAACCTTTGGCCTGGTTACATTTTGGAGCAAGGCTGCTCTTGATTACGTGGAACTGTAATGGCAACTTTTGTGATTTCCTTTGGTTAAAGCACGTTAGAAAAATAAATGAATTCCAGAGCCAGGAAACCAGATGGGCAGCAAACATCTCATTCATGTGTTTCTGACGTGTATTAAAGCGCTTGCTCTCCATTCTGAGAGTGATACAGAGAGCCATGTTAAATGGCAAGCCACAAAGAGCCATGTGTGCAAACAGTGCAGCATTTAGAGATGGAAATTATACTTAGAGAAGAATTATACTTGGAACGGTCTTGAATATATCCCAGTGTATTTAGGTACTACAGCCCAGTTGGCAGTTCATGACAGTCCTTTACCACCGTACCAACAGGATGGGCTAATGATAATTTTGGATTTAACTTGGAATTTGAAATGCCATTCAAGGGAGTGGGGAAGTTTTGAGTTTAACAAAACAGAAAATTACATAACTTTGCAGGGTTTTTTTTCTTACTGAAAGTCTCCTTCATTTCATTTAGTGAGAATGTATTTGAGATGAGGTTCAGAGAGCTTTCRTGGCAATGATGACTTTCCAAAAACAACAGCTATATTTGGAAATAGTTACAAATGCCACTGGTGTTCAGACCTCAGCAGACACTTAGAACAGAAATAAGTGTCAGATATTTTCTTGCGATTGCTCAGTATGGGCCTCCTCCATCTTAGCAGTCAGCAAAGACCTGGAAAAGGTATAAAATGGCTTTCAAAATCCTCTACTTTAAGTAGCTAACTAGGTAATCCTGCTGAGGAGCATGTCTTGGTCACAGTGTGGGTGATTTGTAGTGCTCTGCTCTTGCATTARAGTTTGCTCCTAAAACACAGTTGTTGCTCCTAAAACACAGAGCACAAGAAGATGGGCAGGAAGTGCTGGTTTTGCCCTTGGTCAGTTGTGCGTGTTATGGAGGGTAGAAGGACAAGTAGGGAACTGCTCTCCTTGTTCTGGGTGATGTGTGAACCATGGCATTGTTTCCATTACTTTTTTGGGGGAGGAGGGATTGATTTTTTGGGAAGCCATAACCAAGCAGGTAGAGGAGGAACAGCAGAGGGGTGGAAGGTGAAGTCTAAGAACCTCCTCAATGTGGGAGAACAGGAGGAGTCCAGGGAGCGGGAATCTGCTGACTTCTCCCCACACTGCACTACTACCTGGAGTGGGAGGAGGCTCCATGTGCACATACTCACCTGCAGTATATTCAAGTTTAACCTGCGGTGGGAGAGACTGAAGAGCCTTTCCCACCCTTTCCTTCTCCTCACACATTTTGTTCTTGGCTTCCTAGCCCATCTATCAAAAGGAGAAGTCCTTCAGATGCCAGAGTAGCTGGTGGCCTTCAAGGGCACGACATTCAGGAGGCTGCAAGAAATACCTTGAACGGGGCAGGAACACACGGGTCTGAAGTTTCCTTTACAGCACGGTGCCTTCTCCGTTGTGTGGGCTGCCCATGGACACCGGTGTGCTTGCAGGAGACCCTCTCTTGTTGCCTGGAAGGAGAGAGGAGGCCAACAAGAGGTGGTTTTAGGGAAGGGGACAGCAAACCGTGTRCCGTTTCATGGAAGGCATCCCAGAGTTTTGGAAGGTTCCATATAAAAATACCCCTTGTCACGTTGTGTAATGCGGTTCGGGCTCTAATTTCAGCAGGGATTCATGCAGGGATTGACGTTTAGCTGGTCTAAGATGCCAGATTGTGCTGTGTTCAGCTTGGGATGGGTGCCAGGAAAAGCAGTGCTGGCCACAGGAACCGAGCAGTTTGGCCTCTGAGATATATGAAGCCGCCGGGCCCTGACAAGACTGCTGTGGATCACCGAGGAGCTGGAATGTGGTGGGATATAAAGCATTCCTTCCTAGCCCTGCCCTACTGTGAGCTCTTAGACCTTAAACTTGCCCATTATTATTTTAATGAGTGTCTTCCCTTTCCTCATGTGAACCGGCTTTCAACATTTTAGCAGCCAAAGTATGGGGAATTGCTGGAGCTAGTGGAATGCTTCAAGCCAGTGGGTTTTTCTTTTCTTTTTTTTTTTTTTTTTTTTTTTTTTGCATTTGAGCTGTTACTTCAGAAAGGATTGCAAAGATTATTATTTTGGGCTTACTTTTATGCTTTATTCTTACTTATTGCCTAACTTCTCGCTGCTTCCCTCGAAGCTCCGAGCTGCAAGCTGAGAAGTTTAACTGAGCTGGTTTCAGATCATGACAGGATGTTGGCGAGGGAGTGGGGAGGGAAGCAGAGAAGTTTTTGGCAGCAGATGAAACGAAATCTGCACTGGAGTCGAGGGCTCCTTAATTCAACCACTTAGTGACACTGCGGATGGTGTCAGCTCTGCACTTCCACTTCCCTCGAGAGGATCTGAAAATCCATCAGAGGGCARCTACGTCTGTAGGTGCCCTTGGAGCCTATTAAAAATTGCTTAAAAAAAAAAAATCCGAGTGGATAAAATGGTTCGATTGCCTGACAGATACCTTGCTAAAAAATGCTCTTAGAGTTACTGATAGACGAACCAGCAGACAAATTTAATAGCACCTTTGATTTTGAAGATGGTTTGTGGGGAAATGCAGTTAACAGGGCAAGTCCTTTTTCATCTTCAAGGAAAAAAAGAAGTGTTTTTCCTTAATTTACAGTGAGTGGTGGTTTTCCACGCTGCGACTTGCTGCATTCCGCTGCAGTGTGCCAGCGCAAGGCTGCTCACAGCACCAGGAGTAACATAGCAAAGCGCGGAGGAAACACGAGCCCGTTTCTTCTGCTTGTTTTGAACCTGGGCCGGATCCCGCACCGCRCTCTCTCRCGTCRCCTTCATTCAGAGCGAACGGAGAGSAGGTGGAAACCCTCCGTGYGCTGATAAAAAMCGCCGTGTGGAGGTTTCTGAGGTGCTTTAAACACTCTCCAGCATCCCCAGGGAGCCCGTCCGTGTGGCTTGGCTTTGGGGCTGCTTCTGCAGCCGAACGAGGCGGGTTTTATGGTTTATGTGAGGAGCTGCTGTGGCCTGTAGTAAGTGCAGGGGGTCCCTCCCGAGCCGGGTGTGAAGGAGCAGTATCCGTGTGGAATACCCGTGCTCACAGGATCCTGTGGGCAGAATCCGTGTGGAAGAGCGAGGCCGGCCTGTGTCTCCGTGCGGATCAGGAGCGCTCCTGGTTTCCCAGGGGAGGGAATGTGGCTGCTCGGGTCCCGGGCGGCGCCGGCCGTGGCCGCCTCGCGCTGTGGGGCGGCCGCTCGGGCCCCACTTAGGCCCTGCCTGGCCGGCCAGGCCGCTCGGGCCCCACTTAGGCCCTGCCTGGCCAGCCAGGCCGCTCGGGCCCCACTTAGGCCCTGCCTGGCCGGCCAGGCCGCTCGGGCCCCACTTAGGCCCTGCCTGGCCGGCCAGGCCGCTCGGGCCCCACTTAGGCCCTACCTGGCCGGCCAGGCCGCTCGGGCCCCACTTAGGCCCTGCTCGGCTGGCCAGGCCGCTCGGGCCCCACTTAGGCCCTGCCTGGCCGGCCAGGCCGCTCGGGCCCCGCTTAGGCCCTGCCTGGCCGGCCAGGCCGCTCGGGCCCCGCTTAGGCCCTGCCTGGCCGGCCAGGCCGCTCGGGCCCCACTTAGGCCCTACCTGGCCGGCCAGGCCGCTCAGGCCCCACTTAGGCCCTGCCTGGCTGGCCAGGCCGCTCGGGCCCCGCTTAGGCCCTGCCTGGCCGGCCAGGCCGCTCGGACCCCACTTAAGCCCTGCCTGGCTGGCCAGGCCACTTGGACCGAGCTGTCAGCTCCGCTTCTGCCGCCAGGGCCGCGTGTGTGACCGGCTCCCACCTCCGAGTCTCCCTGGCGCTTCCCGGTTTCCCAGGCCCTGGCCGCTGGGCCAGGCGCTGCCTTCCAGGATCCGTTTCTTTACTGAAGCCGAGGGTGTACAGGCRGCTTTAAGCAGAGCTTTGATAGCTCCAAGGACTCTCTTCTGCTGCTTGCTAAGGCCCCTGGCTGTATGAGAGAGCGTGCCAAGAGTGGGTCCGGGTTTTTACAGCTCCAGGGGGGTTTGTTGACATTCCGGCAGTGCTTTGAGATTGCTTGGAAGCCGTGGCGCTCCTCACCGCACAGCTTTCCTGTTCGGTCCAGCTGGTTGCGGAAACAACGCGCTCCAGCTACGCACCTGCCCTCCGTCCTCGAGGCCCGTGTCGCTTGCCCCATAACGTGCAGGGTCTGTGAGAAGCTCACATCAGCTCCGAGCCTGAACACGGGGGTTTGGCGTCCTGCGTTTGGCAGCGGGGCAGTACGTGGGGTGACCCTCCTGCAGCTCCTCAGGTAGCTGAGCAGTTTCACAGCGGTCAGGTTTCCCACGGGTGTGTTTCCATAAATGATGAGTCTAGAGGGCAGGAGCATCTCCAGGTGTCCAGGAGGAGGAGGCACCCGTAGAAACGTTAGCAGCTACATTGTGCTGCTGTTCTGTACGTTGTTTTGGGCCTTGCCGGGCATCCAGGAGCACGGGCACCACAGAGGTGTCCGTCATCCATGCGGGATTGTGCAGGTCGGATGGTGTCTAGAGCGATGGAGCTTCTTGCTGGCCTCTGCTTTAGGAGCTTGATGTGAGAGCTGCTGATAAGCATGCTCAGACTTCACAGAACCACAGAATGGTTGAGGTTGGAAGGGACCTCTGGAGATCCTCCAGTCCAACCCCCTGCTCCAGCAGGRACACCCAGAGCACGGGGCACAGGGCGGCATCCAGGCGGGTTTGGAAGATCTCCAGAGAAGGAGACTCCACARCCTCCCTGGGCAGCCTGGTCCGGTGCAAGAGGCAGCATCAGTGCTGTGGTTAAGAACCTCACTACTCCCGCAGTCCTGTGATTTACTCCCTSTTCTCCCTAAGCAGTCAACAAAAATAAAGCACTGACTTGGCAGGTCTATTCAGATGACACTTTTCCAACCTGTCTTGGTCACCACGTTCCTCCTGGAGACATGTACCTTAAACAAGGAGTAGTGGTTGGCTGGAAACTCCCTTGACTTTTCCACACATGGATCAGTCTGTTGCAAGGGTGACGTGTCTGCAGGCGGCCTTGGGTTGAGCTTTCCCCAGGGTTTGTCACGTTGTGTGTGACACAACCACGATGCTGGGGGCGATGGGCAGGGTTGCAGTGTAATCGCCCAGGGTGCACGGAGCAAAGCGGTTAAAATCTGTCAGCTCTGGGAACTAAAAGCAGCCTTCGGGGACGGATGTTTTTAGGGAAGCCCAACTTTCATTTCACGGAGTTGCCCGGATCCTTGAGCAACAAAGCCGACGTTTGGGAGAAAGGGGCTTTCAGTCTCACTAGCAAAGGTGGTGGTGCTCTGCAAAACAAAGCGTGCAGTTGCAAGTTGAGGGAAACGAGATTCTCCACTCTGTGATTTAATAGGGCATAACAATACTGTCGAAACGTGGAGGGGAAAAGGAAATGTCTAAGTGCATGTTTATGTTTTTATTAAGTCTTGAACGCYAAGCGTTTCATTATAGCATTTAATAACTGCTGGCAGCTGTACTAGTGTTAACTTGGTGATACAGGTTTTACTTTCAGAGACCATTTGCTTGTTTGTTGTTTTGACAGGGCTCATTTTAAACCTGTTTCCCCCTCCCTTGTGGCTCAGTCTTAATAATCTGCACTCCTGCTTTGAGGTGAATGTTTAATTTTTTCAACTGAACTTTTGAAGTGTTTTGGACATTTTTAACCCAGTCTCTTTTTTTCCTGSCCCGGCTTTAGAGCACATGTGCACCGTGGTGTATTTCGACGACTGCATGTCGATACATCAGTGCAAGATCTCCTGCGAGTCCATGGGAGCATCCAAGTACCGATGGTTTCACAACGCCTGCTGCGAGTGTATCGGGCCGGAGTGCATCGACTACGGCAGCAAAACTGTAAAATGCATGAACTGCATGTTTTGAAGCAGGATAACTGTAATACAGAGGCCAAAGTATTCTCTCTCAGCTAAAGAGATGGGGATTGGAAATACTGCGTTCTGCTGGAATACCTGCTGGTTGCAGTTAAATGTAGTTGGCTTGAGAAAAGATGTATAAAATTCAAAATCTTTTTTTTTTTTCCTTTTTTTTTTAATTTCTTGTAAACCAGGCTAAGTAGTTGAGTTTCAACCATTATGTCTAAGTTTTTCTTTATTTCTGCTCAAAAGGTACGGCCAGGCTCATACTCGCTGTCCTGATTGTTTAGCTTTGATTGGAATGTATTGGCTATACTGTATATCTAGTAGGTAGAAACYTTAGAGTAGGGAAACCTTAATAATATGGTAATAAGATTCCCACCTCCTAAGTCTGACGAGTAATCAAGTAGATGCTGTTGGATTGGGGGGAAGGGAACAGGGGTTATTTTTTGCTTTTATTACCTTCCATTCTTAGCTTTCTGTTGTGAAAAGGGTATTTGGGGAAAGAAGAATTCTTTTAACTCATTCCCTCTCTTCAAGTTCAAATCATGGGCTGTCATGGATAAAATCCTACCTTCTTAGAAGGGTGGCCCAACAAAACGCTGCGTATGAAACACTTTCCCCCCAAATCCCATCTGTCCCATGCTCCTAAGAACATTTAATGCATTATTGCATTCAGAAATGCTTCTCAATCTTAAATGCAAAAACAAAACTTCTAAGAACAGTCGCACCCCTCTCCTTTTGCACTTTCTCTAGAGTCACTTAATCCCCAAACATTCAGTCCAGTAAAGGAAACATGAAAGGTCATTATGAATTAAAAGAAGAATGAAACATGACCTAGYGAGTGCCACAGGGCCCTCGGGTGAGCAGCTGGTAGCAGGCCCCTGTCACATGCAGCAGTTTGCTGGGAATATTTATTCCAAAACCTACTTCTGGTTTTTTCCGCCTGTGGAGTCGCTGACGAAGGGAAGATGTGTCTGGAGAAGCAAACAAGGATGCTCCAAGGAGATTGTCCTGTCTGTTTTGCTCAGTAAAGTTGTAACGTGCTGGCTGTTACAGGGCAGTTAATATGACCCCATTAGGTCGCTACTGATAATGGTACTAAATATAAAGTAGGAATAGTTAATGATCAGCTTTTGGTATTTATAATAATGTTGGGTTTAGYGCCTTAATTTTTTTATACCTATTTATGTGTCATTTACAAAAACTGTTGATTATTCATGTTTTTGCCACTGGCCGCAGCCTGGGCAGACCAAACTGCCTTTGCACACATCTGTCGGGCGCAGATGCACGCAGGCATTTTAAACTTGTTTAATTCCCCTTTGTGAAATATTGATGCTCGGTCTCATTTCTCCAGTCTCTCTTTTTCAGCTGTACGGAAGAACTTGAAAAATGATTGCCTGCTGTTCTGTTGTTTGACAATATCTTCTGTTATCTTTTATTCTACATRAGTTTCTTTAAAATGACTGGAGAGGAAGGACGTGTCAGAGTAGCYTTGGCTACCTGCTTTTAGCTGGAGGAGGGGAGGCATCATTTTTCATCAAAATAGACCACATACAGTAAGTGTGCCTGCAGATCATGCCTAAGATTTTACAATGACAGACTACTTGAAACAGCTAAAAAAATTACAGTTCAGCATCTTCTTGGGGAAGAAACAAGGCTGATGCTTCTGGAGCGGCGCCCGCTGCCATGGGTGTGTGACTTCATTTACATCAGTGTGATTCCACTAGGAGGGCAAGGCAAAGGAATAGCGTGGGGAGGGTAACGGGAGGGTGGAAGAGACTCTCCTAACAAACAGCCAGGAAAAATTGTGGAAAACGCATTCAGAGTTTGATACGCCTGTGTAATGGGCCTGAGAGTGGTAGTGAGGGTGTGAACTTTGAGGCTTGCCTTATTTTTGTAATTCTTGATGCTGTGTAGAGGTTGCTGCCAGCGTTGTGGGTGTGCGAATGGCATACACCAACATCCAGCGTATTTTATTACTATGAGTGTTTTTAGAGGTATTTTAATAAAAAGATATTATTGGTCTACCTGGTTCCTTTCTCATCATTTTTCCAGGGCAAAAGTTACCTGGAAACGTGTAGTAGAAGTACCATTGTCACTATCTAAACTGAGAGAATAACGTATCTGAACAGGGGTCGAAGGCCTTCTGTTATTYTTTCTCTCAAAGCAGAGAAATACATAGAAATTCTAGTTTCTTCACCTTTGCATTCTGAAAACTTAAGAAAGGAGAGTGTGATTCTGGGAATTCTGCTGTGTAATGCAAGAGGGAACCTGTTGTCACTGTGGGCTGAGGTCAGAGGAACAGAGTCCGGGACGGGACCGGCAGGTGACGGCTCCCCTCGCAGGCCAGGCCATCCTGCCCTCCCTGCGTCCAGATGATCAGCAGGTGATGACATTTCTGGCAGAGATACGGGGCGCAGTGTAAGCTCTCTTTTTCTTTTTTTCTTTAGGACAGGATCTTTTTTTAAGGCCTGGCAGGAAAAGAAGAAAAGGCAGCTGACCGGGAGCACTTGTTGCTGGGCCAAGTCTCTACATGAGACAGTCTCTAAGCATGAAATTGGAAGCAGACTTTGCACAGTGGGTGCCTCCTGAGGGTACCTCAGCTGAACGTGTGGATGGGCCTCCTGGCTGACTCACCCCACACACCTTGCTGGCTGCCCCCACGCTGTTCCGAACCCAGCAGCAGAGGTGGTGATTCCGTGAGCGCGGAAGTGATGCCGCTCTGCGCCACAGAAAGGGGACATGGGGAGCTGGAAGCTCCTCTCCATCCCTCATTTGCCACGGCACAGCGATCCTGTGAGGGGGTGAGCCCTGCAAGTCACCGCCCTCCTGGTGCTTTCTTGCAGCTGAAGATTTTTCTGAAGATTTTTTTTTTCTCATAGGCACTCGTTGGTCCCAAATTTCGKAAGCACCGATACCCTGTACCGGGTGAATGATATGGTCATGGCTTTTACAGGATTTCCTGGGTCTCCTAGCACATTTTTAATAAACCCAGAGGGTTTGACATCTGGCATTTCAGAAGCGATTGACGGCCCCGGCTCGCGTCTCCGTCGGCAGCGGGGTTGGTCCGGCCGCAGTCGCAGTCACACCGCGCTGTTTCCCTGGGCCGCACGGAGCGTGGCCTCGTCACCCGCCGGCCCCTGCGCTCCCCATAGCGCCTGGGGCCTCCTGCTGCCCTCGGAGCCCGCTCCGACCTTCCGGCCTCTCGCGGCCACACAGGAGCGGAGCGGAGCCTCCTCAGYGGGAAAACGGCTGCATGAGGGAGTTAGTGAGCGGCCGGGACACGGGGCACGTGGCCAGCAGCCTGCGTGCGCTGCACCGTCTCCCTTACCCCCTTATCCCGCCAGGGGCCTGGGCTTGCTCCTCCCCACGCCCCTGCTCCTTCGCCTAMACATCCCATCCCTTGCACCTCTTCTTGGCTGCTGAGTGTTGCTTTATGCCTGATGAAAATGASGCAGAACATCCACCTGTGGCTTGTCCACAGGGATATTAACATAACACACTAACGTCACCAGGATGTAGSAGAGGCCGCTTATGCTCCCATTGCTCCAATGGTTTCCAGTGGACGCTTTTCCTGCTGTCCTCTCCCCAGCCAYGAGAAGCTGCTGTGCAGACAGGAGGGAGAGCAAGGAGGGGCAGCGGGAGCGCAGGCCCCTTTTCTTCCCAGCTCTGCCCCACGCATTTCCTTCATCCTTGTGGGAACAGGTGTTTCCTTCGGAAATCCYCTGACTCAGGCGGGTGCTCGGTCAACGGAGGAAGATGGAGGGTTTCTGCAATGACGGGGCTGGGCGGACCTTGGCCTTCAGCCACGAAGCGGAGCGGGTCTCYGGAAGACACCTCCTGTTTGCCGCTTCCCGCAGGGCGCTCGGCATTGTATGAGCAAGGACCGGCCTCCGTTTCACAGGGAATTAACCTGCGGATCTGACCCCATGGACCAAGGGGGAAGAGTTCTAAACTTTGAAGAAACCCAGAATTTGAGATATTAAAGTGGCTTCTCAGGCACTATTTCAGACTGCCAATTAGAAGCTGTACCCATTACCATTAGTAAAACGACAACCTCAGCCCCAAAACAGGATTTCTTCAGGCAGTCTTACAGCTGAGAGGTAACAGGAGGGAATTACTTGTTCACTTAAACTGCTCTGCTTTTCCCTTACTTTTTTTTCCTAAAAGAAAAAAAAAAGGGGGCTTTCCTCTTTCTAGAGCATCACTCCATTATTATTTTGTTAGGTTTCTGAGGCTCGGGTGCAGCAGCAAGACTGAATTTCAAAGCAGAGAGCTCGTCGTCTCAGAATCCTTGTGTGACTCGGCCCGTAGAACAGCGAGAATTTAAGATGAGTGAATTTAGGGGGGTGCAGGATGCAAGAACGTGGCCCCCTCCGTGTGAGCCTGTGTAGGAAAACCCCGGCCCCGGATGCGGTTTCTGAAGTTTAAAGTTACCCAGTCATATTTCATATGGTGTCAAACTGCTCTAGCACTGCGCRCAATTAGTGTTTGTTTTGGGGAAAAAATAAGAAAATGGGGCAAGCTTCGTTCGGTGCTCGTTAACTGACGGGTCTGTTGTGTGTGAGCTCCCATGAGCGGCGCCCTCTCCTCGCTCTTGATGCTCTGGTGACTGTGAGGGCTTCAAGGGGCCCTCACAGGCAACGGCCTCSAATCACTGCGGCTGTTCCTCAAGTCACCGTTCTTTCCTCCTTTTGCCAAAAATAACAACTTTTGTGTAACGAAAAGCACGAGGCGCCGTGTTAAAGAAAACTTGCAGTTGTCCTCAAGTTATCCCTTGTGGGGGGAGGAGGGGAAGCGGGAGCTGGGGGTTACGTAACACGCGCGGGGACATTATCCCTGTGCTCCGACACTAATCAGGGAGTTCACAGCCCTCCCTTTTGTATTTTCTACTGAATAGCACGAATTCCTGCGGGGGACCTTTCGCTGTGCCGCCGAGGGCTGCACAAAGGGCCCATTGGACAGGCACTAAGGCGCATTGAGTCTCCAGCGGCCAAAGGAAGCAGGTGGCACCCTGCCACGGCGCCAACGGGCCCGGCAGCTCCGGGATTATGTTCGGGGCTGTGGGAATGAGCCGGCCTGCCTCTTACTGGAACAAATTCCCCCGTTGATTGCGAGTCCTGAAAAGGATTCAAGATACGCAGGTGCTTAATGTAATCGGAAAGCCGCGCGGCGAGAAACAAAGGCCACGCATTCCTTCAGGAGCCGTGTAAACAGGATGCGGGCGGCTGGAGACGTGTTCCTTGGCAGGGATCGGCGCCGCGCGTCACGGGGCCTTCCGGAGCCGGGTCCCCGCGCACGGGCTGCCCGGCTCAGCCGCACGCTCCTCGACGGCCTGCSTTTCTCGTTAACCCGCTCGGGAAGGCAGGCGTTTCCGCCCGCGGAGCCCTCCTGAACCGTATCCCTTTTATCCCGTCTCTGAAGCGGGAAGGCCGAGGGAGGCAGCGCTCCCCGCGTCGCCCCCCAGCGCCGGGGCCCCTCTGCCCGGCGCTCCCGGGGCTGCGGCCGCCCCTCGGGGGCTCCTCGTCCCGGGCTCCCGCACCGGGCAGCGCGGCGGGTCCCCGCTCCGCTTGGAAACCAGCGAGGCCGAGCGGCCGCGCCCCGCACCTCGCCGCCGCCTCACGCACCGCCCCCGCGGAGGCCGATGGGAGCTGTAGTCCGGCTCCCGGAGAACGGCTGCCCACTTCTTCCTGCACGAGACCCCCGGGGAACTACAACACCCACCGTGCCCCGCGGGCAGGGCTCGGCAGCGGGAGGGGCTCCTTCCCTGCCCTCCTACTGCGCGTGCGCAGAGACCGCTGCGCATCTCCCAGCGCCACAGCGCACGCG